TGGTGTTTTCAACACTGCCAAAGGAGTGGTTAATGAGAGAGGTCATTTAAATTATCAACACACTGTCAAATACTCATGACATAGAGCAAGGCAAAAGATGTTTTTACTTATCTCAGCTCTGGGTTTCACTGTCTTTGGTGCCTTAAGATCTTTTCTATATAACAGATCAATCTTACCACCTCCATTGAGGTTGCTGGAGAAACATCACACAACTGTTTACATGCAGGCAACTGCACATCATGACCTTTGTCTCAGTGGGGCCTTCAGTTTCATTTAAAAGTCATGCCATGCATTTCTGGTTCTCGTTTTTTCCAGTTCCACATCTGAATCACTCCCCTCTCCTCGGGACCTTTCCCATGACCTTGCCCCACTGCTGCTCAGCAGATGATCTGATCTTTTACCCCACGGGAGAGATGGATCTGCCGTGCATGCATTCCTTCCAATTTGGCCAGGGAGGATTTGGCAATCTTCCCTGCCTTCTCAGAAACCCTTCCTGTTTCTGAGGAACAGTGGTACCTCTCCCTGAGCAAGGTGGATCCTTTCTGGTGAATCTGAGATGAAAAGAATCTGGTGAAAAGAAACTTTTCTTACCGTGTGACACCTTCATAGCTCTTGCCTCCTTTCTGTGGTCAGTTCTTTCTGGCCTAGAAACAGGGTCAGGTATTGCTCCTTTGAATCTTCATGCCCCCAAGTTCTGGAAAAAGAACCTGTTTGCTCTTCTGATTCCTCTCCTCCTGTTTGCTCAATCTACTGTGATCTGCTTTCTGACTGCCATTCCACTAATAGCCCTTGGCAAGGTCCCCAGGGACCTTCTGGTTGCTAAATCCAGTGGACACTTTCAGGGCTTTTGGTTTTTGACTTGCTTGAGTTCTCTGTAGCAATTGAAACGGTCTCCTTTGGTTTCTATGAATTTGCTCCTGGTTTGACCATACCTCAGGGTCCCCAGTCTCCTGTCAAGGATTTTCCTCCTCTGCCCATTTTTCAAATAATGATTTTTCTGGACTGTCTTTGGTCCACTTCTTTCCATATATCATATTTTCTCTGGGCCTTCTCATGCACTCTAGTAGCTTTACTACCAGCCTACTATGGTGATTTCCAAAGTGTAACTGTAGCTCAGAGCATCTCTCATAACCTTGGCCATATCATGCTGTTTACTATATCTCTACCTGGATGCCACAGAGCTGTCTCAAACCCTGTATGTCCAAAATGATGTCTAATTTGTTTGAAGGAATCAATGCCTACTCAGTCTCTCCCACAGAAATCTGAAGTCATCCTTCACTCTGTTCTGTTCTTCATCCTTTTCATCTCATAAGCCATTATGTACTGTGTATTATATTTCTTAAAGATTTATCTGTTCTCTAGCTCCAGTTCTGTCATTTATTGCTCGGACTATTAAAAAAAAAAAAACCTCTTAACTGGTCTCATTATTCCTATCTTGCTTTCTTCTAATCTGTCCCTAACATTGTCACCAAGGAGTAGACCTCTCCCTGTGGCTCCCTCCAGAGAAACACTTCATTGGCTCTCCATGGTCTGTACAAGAAAATCAAATTTCTTGCTGCCTAAGCCTTTCTGTAATCTGCCCTCTGCCTATCACGCCACCCTTGTCCACTCCAGTTCCACACCTCCCACCCTGGACTTAAATACTGTTGAATGATCACAGCCTTTAGAATGCAGCCTATTATTCCTGTTGCCCCTTAGCCCAGTGTTTGACATATCATCTTTAGTAAATATGAAGAACATTTCTTCTTTGCTACTGTTCATTGTGATTTGCATTCTTCATTAGGGAAAATGTCTAACATAATACATTTATTGTGGATTATCAGAGTTAGAATGTATTTGAAATGTGACTTAGTCCATTTACCTGGTTGATGAGTAAGTCTCTTCTCTGGGACCCTAACTATTGGTTAAGCTCATATAACTTCTAGAATGATGAGCTTATTAACTCTAGCAATGAACTATTTAATTTCCAGAAAGCTACAATGAAAACTTTTTGTGAAAACAGATTTTCAATGTACCTTTTACCTACTGATATGAGTTTCCTGGCAGAGCAAGTTTGATCCTTCTTTATTGTGAGGGTTCTTCCAGTGTTTGAGGATGGCTGTGCTCTTTCCCCTGGGTCTTCTCTTCTCCCTGTTACTATACCAAATCATATCAAGTGTTGTTCTTATTATATAGTGTCAACTCTCTTTGCCTTTTTGAGAGCTCCTTTAGTTGGTTCCAGACTGTCTGTGTATTTATGTGTTTACCAACTTGTTTACCTCTGAGAATATCTAGGGCCGCTTACCTGGTAACTCTTAGGCTTTGTTAGTGCAGCCTGAGATTACATTAGATACTTTGGCAGCAGCATCACCTTGCTGGCTCATATTGACTATCTGTTAAAGTCATCCCTTACTTCTACTTAAGGGTGGAAACCACCCATCCCTAACATCTGTCTTGTTGCATTTTGGTTGAAAGTTGAATAATAAATCTGGTGCTTGTACGGTTACATTTTTGTCCTAAATTTTATCCTTGTTGAATTTTATCTTGTTAAATAAGGTATTTTGTGAATCCTGATTTTGGTCATGTAACATTTTCAACATCATCCCTGGCTTTTTGTCAGTATAAGCTTATACACTGGTGAAGTTTAGTGGGGTTAGATCACACACTGGGGCCTGTTGGACGGTAGGGGGCTAGGGAAGAGATGAAAATATCTATAATAATAATAGATATTCTTTGTTGAGCACTAACTATATGCTGGTCATCATAGCTTAGTATTTCCATATGTATACTTGGTGGTTCCATACAACACTGTGAAGTAGGCGCTATTCATATGTTTATCTTACATGTGAGCCACTCAATCAGATATAGGTCCCTCATGGTTGCTTCTGGAAGACTTATTTTCAGTTTATATTAATTTGCTTATCAATATCTTTATGATGGCAGTTTTTAACCAGCCACTAACACATCCACTTACTTGTACTAAAATCTAATATATGCATTTCTTATAAAAACTCTATAGTATGATAAACTCTTAAGTATTTATCTTAATGAATTTTCTTGTTACTTTATTGAGAAACTATGGAAAATACAGAAAGTTGTAAAGAAGAAAATAATGATCACCTTTAATCTTATCATCCAGAAATAACCACTATTAACTTTTTAACATATAGTCTTTTTACATATATACATAATTTCATGTGTATATGTAATTTCATTACAGATATATATATATATATATATAAAAGAAACTCATAAGTGACAGGAGAGTATTATATATATAGTAATTATATGTCCTTTTAATATTTATGATACTAGATTCCTATAGCTTTTGAAAAATAATACATTTACAATGAAAAATAACATATTTCATATTACATGTAGTATTGGTCTATGAAATGAAATTGGATGATATGGAATAATTGGTAATGTGTGGATCTGAATACAATTTTATTTTAGAAATATTTCTTTGTTAGTGACAGAGAAAAGGAAAAAATACTAGCACATTTTATGAACAACTATTTTTAGAATAGAATAAAAAATCATTTTTCATTGAGAATAATTACTTTTGCTTCAAAGAAAATTTATGTCTTGCATGGACCCTGAGTTATTGGGTAAATACTTTGATACTTAGGTTTATTTATTAATATAACATTATAAATGAATCTTGGGGAAAATATGTGAGCTATGAAAATATCTAGTAAAAAAGACATGTTTATCGTTTGTTAGGAAAATGAGTTCTTCATGTATTTCTAAAGTATAATATTAGTTATCTTCTTTCCATCCTACTTTTCAAAGGCAGCAAGTACAATTTATTACTTATGTCCTCTGTCCCAAAGAGACTTTATGCTGTGTCTTTAACTTATCTTTTATTTGTTATTTGTGGATCTGTCTTGTCTATTCCACGAGAGTATACATTTTTTTTTTAGGATTAAGTGTTAGGGCCTTGTTTTTTAGTATTTCTGGATGACCAGTGTTTAGCATGGGGCCTTGTGTATCCCATGACTTCTTTGAGTGTTAATTGAGTTGAAGGGAGTATCAGAAGATGGTGAGAGAGAACTTACCATTATCCTGGCTTCTAATACTGTCCCTGTGAAGTAGATCAGGGGTCCCCAACCCCTGGGCCTCAGACTGTTACCAGTTCATGTTCCCAGTGAGGAACCAGGCCACACAGCAGGAGGTGAGCAGTAGGGGAGGGAGCATTACTGCCTGAGCTCCACCACCTCAGATCAGCAGCGGCATTAGGTTCTCATAGGAGTGCAAACCCTACTGTGAACTGTGCATGTGAGGGATCTAGGTTGTATGCTCCTTATGAGAATCTAATGCCTGACGATTGGTCACTGTCTCTGATCACCCCCAGATAGGAACACCTAATTGCAAGAAACCAAGCTCAGGGATCCCACTGATTCTACATTATGGTGAGTTTTATAATTATTTCATTATATATTACAGTGTAATAATAATAGAAATAAAGTGCACAATAAATGTAGTGTGCTTGAATCATCCTGAAACCATTTCCCCCTCCACCCTCTGGTCAGTGGAAAAATTGTCTTCCATGAAACTGGTCCCTGGTGCCAAAAAGGTTGGGGACTGGTGAAGTAGATGAATACTTTAGTCACACAGCTTTGGTGTACCGTTCACAAGCAGTTGAGTACCAATTATGCATTCAGCATTGTGCCAGATGCTCTGGACAAAAAGACAAGTAAGGCATAGCTTCTGTCTCTAAGTCATGCACAGCCTGCTAAAGGAAACAGTTATGTAAAGAAATCAGTGCAGTGTAGCACAACACTTGCTCAAAGCCACACAGCCTGTGAGGGGCAGGACTGGGATTCAGGGGTTTTTTTTTTGTTCAGCTCCAGAGCTGCCAACCCAAGATGCTTCCAGAACAGAAAACCTAGGAGTGCTGATAGTTTTTGCTGTGCTCCTCAGAGTAAAACCGCAGCGTTGCTCCATTAACAGAAAATTCACATCCTTCCTTTGAAAACATTATTAAATTAAACCATTTTGTTTTATTTGCAAATTAGGTCCTCCAGAAGCTGGGGAAAGCTGACGAGACAAAAGATGAACAGTTTGAAGAATATGTCCAGAACTTCAAACGGCAAGAAGTGAGTCCATTTGTTCAGTTTCTGGAGTGGGAAATGGGTTAACTGTGTTTGTGTCTTAGTATATAAGTAAAATGCGTTAAAATTAAAAAAAGAATAGGCAGGGTCAGCACTAACTTGAGAGTAATAATTGCTAATTCTGTAGAATTTCCTATGGAAGACGAGGAAAAGGCCGTAGAGAGTAAGTTTTAGAATCTCGGGAGATAAAAACTTTGCTGCTCTGGACTGCTTTCGTTTTTTATTATATTTTGTTTTTTGAGACAGAGTCTCACTCAGATTGCCCAGGTTGGAGTGCAGTGACAATTTTGGCTCACTGCAGCCTCGACATCCTTGGGCTCAGGTGGGAGGAACCTCCCACCTCAGCCTCCCGAGTAGCTGGGATTACAGGTGTACGACATCACACGTGGCTAATTTTTTGTGTTTTTAGTAGAAATTGGGTTTTTCCATGTTGCCCAGGATGGTCTTGAACTCCTGGACTCAAGTGATCCACTCACCGAGGCCTCCCAAAGTGTTGGGATTACAGACGTGAGCTACCAGGCCCGGTCTTGGACCATTTTAATACAGATGACTGATGTATAAAAATACTGGTGTTTCTGATGGTTTATACTTCACTGAACATTAGAAAAGCAATAGTTTAACACTTCTAGTAAAATGACCTTAATTGTTGCATGCTTCAAGAGCATGCATTTGCAACAGAGATTATAGAATATCTTCCATAAGGGGGTGAAAATTGGTTCTTGGTGTGTGAAGAAAACTTACTCTTTTAGTGTATAAAGCATAGATAAACATACATCAGATAAATAGATATATAGGATATTTATGGTATTAAAATTTTACTGGGGGTGTAATTAGAAAAAAAATCTTAAAAGATTCCTTGGGGAAGTGACAATGTAAAAAAGGTTGAGAAACAGTTTGCGATGTTTGTTCCTTTAGTTGTGTGTTTAACAGACATGTGGATAAAGAAACTACTTTTAAATGATATGTCTTGATCTCTACAGCTTGTAAAATTGGCTAGAATATCTCTCTGTAGATAACATGCATGAGGGCTGGGGAGGGGAAGATCGGAGTGGGGCCCTCTGAGCTTAGAAGCCTCAAATCTAGAGATCTCCTTGGTGAGAAGAAGGCTCTAGGAAATAGGGTTTGGACATTATAATATCTAATTGTGTGGGGAACAATATAAGGACATGGATTTATTTTCCTGCTGTCATTGGAGCTACCAGTGTCCACAGAGGGAATTTTGGTCTCAGGAATGACACCAATAATGAGAAATCATCACAGGTTTTATTTTACCCCCTTTGTCACTGACCTTAGAGGTTTATTCCTTCCATTTGTGTATCAGGGTTCCTGCTGTTTGTCTCACCAAGACATTCTATTTCTTTTTCTCACCAAGAGGGGTTATAAATTTCAGCAGATACAGAGGCAGGTAGACCAGTTTGCCAAAGGACATTTCTGAATGTCTCTAGTTTCATCTCAAGACTGAGGGTTGGCATGTGTGACAAGTAGTCAGTTTACCACGAATGATAGCAAACATGTTCTATCTAAACATGAGCAAAGGGAGAGGGAAGCTAGAGAACAAAACAGTAACAGGGAGAAAAATTGATCATAGCTAAACGAACAAATATTACAGAGAACTTTGGCTTAATAAAGGTAGAAAAGAGAATTCCTAGAGAAATGTTGGACCCGGACCCACAGAATAAATAGTCTCCCAGTCTCCTCCAGGGGAAAGAGGGTCTACAAGTCAACTTCTTTTCTCAGTTGGTGAGTTTTCACACATCTTCTGCATGTGGGTAGCTCTCAAATAGATGATCGTCTTGGATTGCAGGAACTTCTCACACACAAAGTTGTCCATCAGTGCCCTGTAACTTTGCAGGCAATCCCAAATGTCTGCTCTAGAAGATTGGATTTAGACTGAAGAAGCCATTCATGCTTACAGTTTTCCCTACCTAAGGATTTACACCATACCCTTTGAAACCTTTTCTTCCTGTCTGGCATATCCCCATGGAGCTAATTAGTTATTTGCTCTTGGAGTTTTTCTCTGTCACTTTTATGGCACTTTGATGTTGTTAGCGCCCCAGAAGGTTAACTTTGGAAGCATCAGGTTTAGTAACGTAGTCATGCCAGAAGCACTTTGCACTTTCTGATTACAGTGAATTTTCATTGTTTTTTTTTTTTTTCCAGCTCTCTTTACTGTCCTGGGTGAGGATTGCTTTTTATTGAAGGTTACTAGAAGGTACTAGGGAAAAGTCCAGTTGATTAAACTATCAACTACATTGGCAGAGTGATACTAGGAGCAGCAGCATGGGGTGACTTTAAACTGCTGTCCCGCCATCTATTTTGGTCACTGTGTACAGTATTCATTTTCAAATGTTATGGGGCATGGTATATTATCACCTGGGAAGACGACCACCTTAGTTCTCTCAAGAATATTAGCAGATTTTAAAACCTGTGTGAAACTGCAAAACTTGGGGGAATCTGAATAAGCAATTCTGTTTTATAAGAGTAAGGCAAATAGACTGTAAATGTAGGAAATGTTATTTCTCAGGGAGTCTCTTGACCCCATTTGGTTCACTTTGAAAATATTTTTGCATCAGGAACATCTTGCATTTTCATATCCTCATTTTAATCAGAAAGAGAAAGTTTATAATCATTATAGTGGAGTGAGGAAGGAAAGTCTCACTTTACCCTTCTCTGTATATTAGAGAGAGACAAGGAGAAAGGGAAGGAGGATAGAAGGAAAAGAAGAGGGGGATTTATTAATTTTTTTGAAACATATTAAAAGTTGAGAAGTGTAGCTGAAGACTGAATTTATTAATGCTCTGCAGAGAGAAAAATCCTCTTATTCCCAGTATGTATTGGTGACCGATTTGCATGTGTTGTGTATGCTGAAAAAGATGTGGTGCTTACGTAGCAACATTAACCTAGAAGGAAGCATCTGCCAAGATTATGGTTACATCTGCAAGGTCTATTATTCTTAGTATTAACGTAATGGTGAATCAGTACTCTGAAGACAGAAAGCATTACCTAAAGGCTACAGACTCAAAAGGCATTATCTAACCTAGGAAATGGATTCCACAGTTTGTTCTATGAATATGTATATTTTATGGCCCCAAAGATACTATTGATAGCATAAAAAGAAACCATATTTGGATTTGTGCTTTGTATTATAGTCATCTGACCACACTCAAGTAGTGCTTAATAAAGAATTAGACCATTCTGGGATGTTCTAGAATGTATTCAAACATTTATAGGGGCCCGGTTATCTTGCCTTTAGATTCCTTTCATAAAATCTTAAGATCCTTGTAGTTATTGATATAGTCATTCCCTGCTTGTTCATGTTGGAAACAAAAGTGGCAGAAAGGTCTGAGTTTGAACTCTGTCTTGGGACTTTGCTTTATTTTATTCCAACCCTAAGTTTTCCTTTTGATCTCAAACTTCTTTTCCCAAAACATAGTTTGTGTGAGACTGAGAGCAATGACAAAGGGTCTGTATATACTTTCTTTTGTCCATTGGACTCCCAATTGCTGTAGGTTTTGTGGTCCACTTTTCATAAACTACTTAATTAAAACAAGGAGAGCCTGGTGCCGTGGTGCGTGCCTGTAGTTCCAGCTACTCAGAAGGCTGAGGCTAGAAGACCACTTGAGCCCAGGAGTCCTGGGCTGTATTGTGCTATGCTAACGGGGTTTCTGCACAAATTTCAGCATCAATATGGTGACTTCCTGGGAGCAGGGAACCACCAGGTTGCCTAAGTAGGGGTGAACCTGCCCAGGTTGAAAATGGAGCAGGTCAAAACTCCTATACTAAATAGTGGGATTGCACCTGTGAATAGCCACTACACTGCAGCTTGGCAACACAGTGAGACCTCATTTATAAAAAATAAATAAAAATGAAAAATAAAAGAAGGAGGAAGGGAGAAATTAGGAGTAGAGCATCAGGTAATAGAGTGAACTCTTCTACAAAGAACTTGGAATTTTCCATGACAATGCATGCTAAGGAGAGCAAGGATTGTAGAAATCCAGCAGCAAGAACAAAATCTGACTGAATTTCCTCCTCGCAGGACGTTTTTTCCCTTTCTATTTTCCCCCTCTTGTCAAAGCTGCTAACAAGTAGCAAAATTGACTGGTGTGAACATCAGCTGCTTTCAGTTCTGCTGGTTTTCTGCTGACAGATTTCTTAATGAGCAGAAAAAAAGTCCCACTGTGGAAGGAAGGTCCTTGGCTTCTCTCTCACTCCTTCCTGCTAATAAACTCTTCCAGTAAGATGCTGCACCTGTGGCAAACGTGCTAATTAAAAGAAGATAACCTGAGGGCTGGTTGAGCTCAGATAACCAGCTATTTGGTCACATTTTAGTGAGTGCAGGTGTGAGCACCCTCATCCAGATCCCATCTGAGAACAATAGTTCAAATAAGGGAAGGTGAGCCTGGATTCTCCTTCTGGCATCTGCATAGGCTTCCATTTCCTCGTTGAAATACCATAGCAGTGTTGTGCAGCCCCTCTATGGCCCATGACTGAGTGATGGGCTAACTTTTGTGTAATATGAATCAATAAGAGAAGAAACCCTGGGACCTTGAAATCCTTTCCAGTAGCGAGAATTCCGACCAGCCTTGCGTGAGTAGGATGCTCTAGCAACTATTTAAAACTGGGCCACGTCCTCTCCTTACACTGAACTCACCCCTCCTGGGCACAGGGATCCTGTTTTGCCTTGTATGTTTATTTTCATGGGAGCTAGTACTTTGCCGGTAAACTTAACAAATACTTGTTAAACTCGAAGCTGAACTAGTGGCAGAAATTATCACTTTAAATGCATTCCTAGAGTACGTTTTTATTTCTGGGATGGAAGAGATACTGGATATGGTATGTGTTTTTATAAGCAGTTTCATGACATTTTAAGAACTTAGTGTAGGTGCATATAAATGATTAGAGAAAAATTTTTGAAGTTTTAAGAAAGAATGTAAAATAGAAGTATACTGCCATAGTATACATGTTAAGGTGTGGATAAAATTTTA